TGTGACTAGTTTGTTGATGATTTAATTGTGTATTCTATCTCTTGGGATGAACATGTACGATATCTTGATGAAATTTTCAGTGTGTTGAAGAAGAGTGGAATAACGTTAAATTTGCGAAAATGTTCGTTTGCTCAAACAACTGTAAAATTTTTAGGATTCATTGTCGGTCAAGGAGAAATCAGACCAGATCCTGCGAAGGTGGATGCGCTTAAGAATTTTGCGAGGCCAGAGCGTATATTAAGAAGCAGTTTAGATCTTATCTTGGTTTTCTGAATTTTTATCGAAGATTTGTACCAAACCTAGCGCAACAGACGGCACTGTTGACAGAAATGTTGAAGAAAACTTGTCCTGATAAGTTAGCGTGGACTAATGAGAGTAATAATTGTTTCAAGGAGTCACTGAGCTTGGTGTCGCTCGACGTGATCCTCAAAATACCGAAACCGGATGTACCTTTTGTTGTGAAAACTGATGCTTGTATGCATGGTTTTTTGATGCTTGTATGCATGGTTTTTTGCCGTTTTAGGACAAATTGAAGAAGATAACTTTGAACCCGTTTGCTTCATTAGTAGGAATTTGTCTAAAGCTGAACGTAATTACTCTGTAATCGAATTAGAATGTTTATCCATTAAGTGGGCTATAGGATATTTTCATGACTATCTGTACGGTAGTAAGTTTGTAATTCAAACCGATCATGCTCCACTTACTTGGCTGAGACAAAATAAAGATAAAAATTCTAGACTTATGCGGTGGGCGCTAGCTCTTCAAGCTTACGATTTCTCAATTCAATATATCAGTGGATGTGATAACTTCTTGGCAGATATGTTCTCCAGAAATCCTGTACATGCCTAGGTCTTGCGTGTTGCATTTTTAACTTTCAACCGTGTTACTATGAAAAATAATGGTATATTTTTCTTGGGGGGGAAGATATGTAAGGTTGTAAGTTTTATCTTATATGGCAACAACTCGTAATCATTCTTACGAGATACAAAACCGTGCCTTAGGTCAGTCGTTGCGAAGCAGTCCTCCCGTGTACAACCCATTTCTAGGCCTAGTTGACTGAATGCGCCACTTTTCTGCTGTGTTCCCAGTGAACTTAATCGGCCTCTATTGGTGAGCTGCTTTACTAGATCCAGTTAATTGTTACAATAAATTTGCTATTCTTGTGTCATACTATTTGGATATAAAATGAGAACACTTTGTTTATTCAGTTACGTATGTGCCAAAGTAAGTAGTCTGTTTGAATGTAGGTATTTATCTTCAATGTAGGGTTGCGGGTCTGGAGCGGGCTGTCTTCGGGACCGAACGATCCAAGATCTTCTCTGGATAGTTCCCAGTGGGCTCTTAGGAGCTGGGAAGTGCCACAACCTCGTTACACCCATTGTGACGTGTTTTATTGGGCATGGCATCTAGATTGTCCAGTATCTTCATTTATATCACTGTGTAATTTACTGTTTGTTCTGTTCTAGTTCAATAAAAATTAGCTTTGTTAGCAGATGTTTGAAAGTATCCGCGTAACGAACCCCAATGAAGTATAGAGGCTTCATTACACTCACTTCATTTATTGCGAACATCGTATTATTGTTATTTTGCTATACATTATTGTTCTCGTGTACTTAAAAATGAAATCATACAAGTCGAGTATTTTTCACGGGGAAAAATCAACCTAGCAAGATTCTACTCTTAATAGATTTTGGAATATATATCAAACGAGTATTTTATAAGAAATTTGCCTCCAAAATTAAGTAAATTCGGCAGAAAACTTACAACCTTAATACAGGCTACAAAATTCTGCGTCATTGAAAGCTATATGATAATGCTCTTTTATTCTAGAAGCAACAGTGAGAAATGAGGCCTATGTAAACGAAGTATATACATATGATCCCCTATCCTAAATGCTAATTGTATGCTTACTACAATCATATTTCTGCGAACAGTGCACATTTTTCATTTTAAAAACTCTTAGTTACCGGATAAGACGTCAAACATATTCGAGTAACAATAGCGTGCAGAAAGCCTTTCGAGAAAGCCTTTCGAATAAATCCATCAATAACGAATTCAATTTGAAAAATGAATGCAAATTTCGAAATGTGAACAATGCTGGATGTACCCAACATTAGAATCAGTATCAAACTAACTAAGAAGCAGTCTAGTTTTTTCCACAGTCGAACAATGATTCCTCAAGCATTAATTTGAATTTGAGTGAAAAAAATTAGATCAGTACTCACTGCGGTGAATTACAGAGAGCATTTTCTCGTCCGTCCGTCCGTGAAGTCACGGACGGACGAACATGACGAGCACAATAGCGCCTTTCTTCCATAAATGAGAAAATGCGCTAAAAAGGGAGGCAAATTTAAACCCAAACCATCTCTAGTGAGTTACAAAGAGAGGCATTGTGAAGACCTAAGCTAACACTATTATGGATACAATTCAATGGTGTTTATCAACGATTTTTATACAATTAGGCAACGCTGTTAGCTCAAGAGTTTATCTTGAAGCTTTGCAGAATTTGTTAATAATATAAGCCATGCTTGCTAGAGTATAATTTATTAATAAGATTCAAAATCAGAAGCAGAAGCTCCGATTGCAAAGGCCTCGGCAATTAAAGAATTATGCAAACAGAGAATTTGATTATTTGTCTCTTGTCTGGTTTGTGCCTTTTTTGCAAACAAATTTCATATGTAAGATAATAAATTAACTTAGGATTATCGTTTTGGACAAAAATGCATGATCAAAAATTTTATGACTATGAAAAGTTCTTGAAATTAAACAATATTCGGAAAAAAACCAAACTTACTTTACATCACGAACTTGACAAATAATCATTTTGATTTGGTCGTTGGGTCTTAATGAACGTTCACTTTCATCACCTTTATAGCTGTTTAAAACTTTATATGCAAACAAATAATTCAAATTGGATGCAACATAAAGAAAGGTGGGTGTTGTCTTCAACTGAGCACAGCACAGCCAAAGAAAAAGCTTTGCGTTAGACCATGTTTTGCAATTTCTGTTCATATATCACTGTATTTTGAATGTTCAGATCGAAGTAAAGAAGTTCTCTACATTTATTGTCATTTGCCCAATAATTTCCAATTAATATAATTAATATATGAATACCTGGAATCAGAATCTCAAGTAATCTTGAAGTGGTATTGATCAATGAGTGGTTTGCCACTGGTGAGAAACACTGTTGGAAGTGTGCCTTTCAGCAAATTGACATTTGTTCGTCACTTGCAAGTTCAGGATAGACTTAAACCCCATAATATCGAACCTGTTTATGAGATCGATGTATTAGTTAGAATTTAATGAATGCGCGACTGAAAACAACATGAGATCAGCACTTCTTTGGTTTAAGGCAAACTGAAGCCAATATCGTGAAGCTAACTTAAATTATAAAGCAATGTCGAACAAACTATATTACCTGCGATATTGAAACAGGTAACGATTATCAACAAGCGCAGATATTATCAAAATTGTAATATTCCACGCTGAATTACAGTTTATTAAACTGAATCGATTTCATATTCTTTAATTTTTTAACACCTGCCGTGCACCTAGTGGCACTTTTCTACTTCGCCACTGATACAACACTTGCGTGTCATGCATGAGCTTTCTTCAAGAACGACAAAAGAACAAGCCCCGATTTCTAATTCTACACCTCAGTATTAACTTATAGAAATGGAATGCGATTCCGGATCCCAAGCTGGCACCTGACATGTTTTTGCAGCTCCAATGCTGCTGCAAAATGAGTCACCTGTCAACATCCTACCACGTACTTATGCCGATACAGATCACCCGTTAGCAGGGCGCCGGCAGCCCTTTGGTTTCCCATGTTTCAACTCGTACTTAAATTTCACAACGCCATTATATAGATAACACATACGCACATCTCACACATGCTACGATTTGCCGGTTCCATTATGCACAAGAAAAATAATGCAAACGAATTTTATTTAATATTTTGTTAATATTAAAGCAAAAGTTACAGGTATAAACGAAAAAATTCAATATTAGCATTAATTTTTATTATAGATAAATGTATTTTATCGGTTTCGATTCATCTGACGTGTGGCGCATGAGTTCAAGTGATTATTTACCTCATCTTGGGACGAATTATTATTGCATGCATAAAATAATTGTATATATCACTTATAATATTAGTATTTTGAGCGCAAGATTTGCATTTTCCTCAGTGATAAACATTATGACTTCTTGATAATTTAATGCAAAAGCATGAGTTTATTGTGATTATTTATCTAATTTTATATCTCTAATTTGTGTCCCTAATTTCAACAATTAAAATCATTTGATGAAGTGGAAATTGTCTCTTTCTTGCACCTCTTTAATCGAAAGTTCCAGGATATTTAAAAATTAATTATTATTATTATACGCTTAAACTAGCAAGTCTTCTGCTGATCGAGTTCCATCGATTGGTTGAGATATATCACATGTTATTCAGTTGTTCCACAAAATTGTCCTCATCGATAAGATATTTATATTAATTTTGTCTCGCGTGAAATATCGCCTTTGAGTTGAAATAACAAATTTTCATACTGGAATCACACCATGATTTATGAAATCATTGTAATCACATAAATTATTTGTAAATTCAAAATGTTTTTATGGCACAATAACTATTTTGAGCAAGAAGAAGAAAATAATTCTCAGTCAGATACTTTTCACATCAATATTTTATATAGATGAAATTGTGAAAAATTCTGTTTCACTTTCACCACAATTTAATAGTAGCATAATGAAAACCTGTTCCCGATCCAAGCCTAAGTTTACAAATCTCTACCTACTTATTTTTAGCGCAGTGAAATCGCATCGCAATGTTTTTTTTTATTTCCACAATGTAATTTTCGCAATGAGAAACAAAAAACATTTTAACTGCCGAATTTTACCTCGAACAAGGAAAACTTTCATCAGATCAATGAGGAAAATTACATGATGAAATACGAGTATATAAAGTCAGCGTTATAGTCCAGGATTAAAAGAAGCGTGGTCGTCTGAGGAGCACAGTTTATTCTGGACGATCTCTTACACGGTAAGTCGGAGTCCCTCGCCTTGAGAGCGCCGGTACTCGCCGACGTCTCAAGGCTATTGGAGTTCCAAGGAAAAATAGTCGTGCCTTTTATCTACGAGGGAAAATACCTGTAGTCAATGCTATTGGTACATAAAAACCTGGGACTGGGAAATGTCGTCGGTATAAAAATCGGTGAAATGTATAAATAAAGGGTTTGACCGCTTCAAAAAAAACTAATGTCACGTCGGGTAAATAAACCGACTCAATTGAACTATAATCAAAGTGGATAAATTTCAATACGCTGAAATAAATACGTATCGATACTTGAAAACGCAGGAGAATTGAGTATACAGGGATTTATCATGAACAGAAAAAAATAATTATAATATATAAATTAGTTATCACCACAGTCAAACCAATTATAATAGGTAAATAATATTCCGTTCTCACGTCCTATAGGATTCGATGAATATTTCATGAAATCCAATTTTAATTCTTTATGTTACATAGAATTGAAATGAGGTCTGAATTTATTAAGACCTCTATATATTTTTGCTATATATTTTTGCTGTAGTTTTCAATTTAATTTCGTTAGCTGGGTAACATCACTATTAACATGGAATTTTCAGTATACTCTAACGAAAACTAAGCGCATGGGGGCTAGAGATGGCAGTGAAACAAAGTTAAGTTTCCCAAATTTTTCTTTTCTTTATTAATCAAGTTAATTGCAACGTATATTATTGCATAGGCATATGATGATTGGCCGGGCTGCGAGAACGGATAGGGTCAAGGAAGTTCCCCACCAAAGCGTGACGTGCCAGATCTGCAGCCATTTACCCCCAGCATTTTCGTTCAGTGCTGCCACAAAAAATATGGAAATAAATTTAAAATCATAAATATCAATAATGGTAACAGTATTTGTATATAGATCTATTATATTTATTAAATTCATCATCTATTTAATTTTTCCATATATATTAAATACATCTATTATATTATCAATTCATCAATTAATATAGTTTTAGGTCAACTATCATTTAGTAATATTAAGGGCACAGCCCATTCATCAATTAACAAAGAAATAGCATGCCAGCATGCAATATATTAAATTTCTCCTATTATCCATTAAATATCCATTAAGGTGTAATTATTAAAATTAAATATCTATTATATAATTATTTAAATTTAATATTGGCAACACCTTTATTTTAGTTTGAGGTCAGAGGGCAGAGTTAGCTATGTCAGTCTCTGAAACTGTCTGGCACACACCCGCACGACTAAGTGGTACCGAGGACTTACGTTTCATAAAAGACAGAAGCTGGTGCAGTCGGCTGAAGCAGGTAAGTGGTCCAACTGGGGCTCAGGAGAACATGCGGACGTGGAGATCTTAGCACCTCATGGCTCCCATCACGTGCGACGACGAAGCAGAACCGTAACTCCGGTCATAGCGTCCTGGGATACTGACAACAAATCGACGGCCGCAGGAGGAACTGGTCACAGGATGAGGTGCTAGAGAAGACTGTGGATAATTAGTCGATTGGCTTGGAAGTTTGGTTCCATTCAAAGGGAATCCAGAAACCGCAAGCCTCTAATACCTCAAAATCGCTAAGGTGGTGCCAGTCAATTATGTAGTTTGAATGTAACGTAGTACTGAAATGCATTATAAAACGAAAATTATAGTTTTAAGTCTAGTTTTAGCTTAGGTTATTAATCGACCTCTATGCAAGCTTAAAGTTAACATTTAACGACAAACTTAAAACTTTACTATTTTCGACATACTCATCCGCTTTTATATTATGTTCTATAAGACAAGAAACATAATTTTACTCTGATTATTCACTATTCAGTTTCATTTGAGTAAAAATTAATTGACGTAGTCGCTCTGTGAGCTGATGGAATTCAAACGTCGCCAGTACTAATAACTAATAAATATAATCTGGACCATTTTCTATCACTAATTGATCCGGTTATTCTTCATTAGTTTTAGTGTTTCGCATTGTCTAACGTTCTGGGACGCGAATGATTTTAATTAAAATTTTTTAATGTTTTCATTTTCTTAGGTTTAATCTACTACCTTGCGTTCTATCCAATCCCTTTAACTTAATTGGAGAGCTGGAATATGCTATCTTGCAGTTTAACTTAACGGAAGTTCTTCAAAGTTACTTGCAGTTAAACTTGCTTGAAGATATAAAGAAGTTCAATTATATTCTTCGGTTTCAAAAGTCTTCGTACCAGTCTGAAAACTATGTGCACCGTGGATTAACCCTGCCCACGCATATCAATCAGAATATCTAATAAATAAATCAGTAGATTAGGGCAGTCGATGACTCCACTTCTTCTACGCTCGTTTTCACAGATGCTCGGCGCGTCTTTTTTCCTATCGTTCGTCGCGATGGCCGCGGCGGCGACTACGATGACGAAGGCACCGACAAGAGCAGTCGTGAAGATGACGATAGGGACGGCAGCGGTGCCACAAGGCTTTGAAGGTATTAGTTATACTCAGTACATTTATTTTAATTTTGAGCAAACAGGATTTTTTATTGTATCTTTTATAAAAATATTTGAACTCAGACTTACATAGATCGAAACAATTGCGATACGAGCGAAAACTCAAGCAGGACTGACCAGTAACAGCTAGTAACCTAACGGAGAGTTTTCATCGTGTTCATCTTCATTTTTCAGAAGCTCGACTGTTCGGACAATCCACTTCTACACAGCTAACTTTATCCACCACCACTACCCCGTTGACATGCGTTACTAGTGAGTGCATCAATTAGCACGTTAAACCAACAACATTAAAAAGGCAAATATTTTCTGCGAGTACCTCCACTAAATTACTTTACCTCCGCCAAGACATTCAATTCTAGTGAGCCTCTATATAGACATTAATGGATATATGCGACTCTTTGTTTAACTTCATAGATCATTGCAATAGAATTTCATAGTAAATGTCATGTTAAATTTGATCTGAAACTATATTCAATATTCCAATTATTCAATTCCATTAGTTCCTATCCACTAAAACTAGTCCAGCTAAACCGAGGTTGGTATAGTGAGTATTTCCACAAGCTCTCTGCATTTGTAATGAATACTTTGAATCCTCTCGTCACAAAGACAATATTTTAAAGCTTGTTTGTGAATATTCGTTTGAAAAACACCATATGATATATTCTACAATTGTTTCAGAATTGTTCCAGAGAAAATGAATATAGAATTTTTGGTTAAAAAAAATGACCATTCATGACCAAAAAAAAAAAATATCATTCATTTTGGTTAAATGAATGATAAAAAAAATAGTAGTGTTGAAAACTTGTAGTTCATATCTCAACACTTAATAATTTTTCTATCGACCTATCAGAACTCACGATGAACGAAGCATATATAATTCAGTCGCTCTGATTACCAAAAATAAATTAACTACTGGTCGTCTGCACTTTTTCGAAATCAGCCTGTTTTATTTACGTGATTTAGTTATTGTACCATGAAACTTAGACTCGATTGTTGATCTCATAAGCGGATAACGGAAACAGATTGATCTCTGAAAAAACGTTATTTAAATATAACTTAATATTGTATTTCAGAGAAAATGTGTTGGTAAGATTAAATTTATTTTGATGGGTTTTATATGGCCAATAGCAAGCCCAGTACGGAAACTGACTTATAAACTGAGATAGCGTGCGGTCAGCATAGTATGAAATAAAAAATATAATATAACCTATAGCTTGGGCTGTTCTAGTCCCAACACGAGTGATTATAACAGCTGAACCTTTTTATGTAACGTGTCTTAGAGCATGATTAAATTAGTGCACTATTCTTTAATGCATAACGAACATGCCAAAAGCCATAAATGAAAGAATTTAGCTGGCCATTCAAAGAGAGATAAATAAAAAACGAGCGGGCGTACGGCTACTAATTGTCAAAGACCTAATGTTGCAGACAGTTTACGAAGTCATGATGAACTAGCTATGCAGAACGTAACGACCATCAGCAAATAGTCGACAATCTTACAAATTGTCAGAGAACCACACTTCGCCCAAGTGTTTGAAAGCAGATTTGACTTGAACTTTGCTTTGAGAGGTTCACAAAACGTGACGGTGCTTCAAAAATCACGACTTCAAAATGCCATCTTGTAATGTCACTGTGGCCGAGAACACTTTTTTCGTAAAGTAAATTTCGTGTAGTACTGATGGTTTTTGCTTCGTAGTCAATCGACCCGGACTATGCAACAAACGCCGAAGACGCCGGGACTCGGAAACTCGGTCATGTGCTCCACCGACTCTGGAGAACGTCTTTGGAGGGGCCGAGCTCTCCAGCTCCTTGCTTGACTCCAGCCGTCCAGATGAAGAAATCTCGGCTAAGTCCTACCGTGGCTTACTGACTTTCTGGCAATTCTCCACGTCCACAGTAGTTCTTACCTCCAACATGACCACCTTCGTTAATTTAAATCGACTTGTCAATATTTTCCTTGGCGTCTTGGGGTGCTCAGCGACTCTTTGTTTAACTTCATAGATCATTGCAAGAGAATTCCATAGTAAATGTCATGTTAAATTTGATCTGAAACTATAATAAATATTCTAATATCACGCAAGATTAATGGATATATGAATACAGCAATACCGAGAGTGAATGACTATTATCACAACTGGAATCCAGGCCAAAACTTATGCAATGGACCATAAAAATGTCCCTACCAAACCAATATTGAAACCAAGGAACTTGCAAAAGAAGGTCTGTCCATTACAATGAAGCTACTAGGCAATTCCCTCTTTCACATATTTATGTTTTTCAACTGCGTGTCATTAAAAACATGTTTTTACTCAGCTTTATTAAGCCTGGAACATAATAAACCTTCGCCTATATGAATATTTCATTATTGATATGTTTGGAATTACCTTCGGTCCACAGCAATTAGTAAGTAAAGTACCTCAAACACTCACTGTTTTAATAAACGCAGTTACAGCAACGAAATATGGCGTACATAGTAAACTTACAATCATTGAATCGAATTCTATATTAAAAGAGTATTTTCTCAATGAATAATACGATATTTATTGCAGTGAACTAATACCGTCCACTTTTGTGAATCAAAATCCTATAGATACTTCATTTATGGTAATCCTGTACGATCACCAAAACGTGTCTTCTGGCGCCTACGGTCCATCAAGAAATAAAACCTTACTTCAAAGGAATAGATCCTGATTTAGTTATTAGCTGCACGAGTTTTCTAACTATTAATTGGTAGATGAGAAGCGTTCCAAAAATTATCTTCACTGAAACAGACTTTAATGTCTTGCCGCGCTTAATTTGGATGAACAACTGCGGTGCGAGATTCTGGTTATCGTTTCATCGGATTTATAGCAGCTTTCACACAGGGCGGCAAATACCGCGCACGTCAAAAAGGCCACGGCGGTATTTACCGCGCAATCTTTCACACGCAGCGGTTTTCAACGCTGGAATCTATCTGTCTTGCAGTGCTGTTTTATGCACCATCAGTCCATCTCTATGTTTATGTAACAATATTTCTATATGGAAATATATCGCTATGTGAGAATAAGGTAAATACATCTCTATGGAAATACCTATATATTTTATGGAAAATATATCTTTTGTGAAATATATCTCTATCACTTTATGGAAATATATATTTATCACTGAGTATCTATATGATTTTGTAACAATACTTATGTAACAATGTTTATGTAACAATATTTATTTACCGATATTTATGTGACAATATCAGTCAATAATTATCTATCAACAGGGCGCGTACCGGTCATGGAAAACCTGAAAAGTCATGGAATTTGATTTTTCATTATCCAGGCCTGGAAAGTCATGGGATTTCATTTCAGGTCATGGAAAGTCATGAAACAAAAGGCGTTTTAATTTCCTTCAATAAGATTGATGTTGGTTACATGGCCATGCAGGGCCGCGATAAAAAAAACAGCTTGCAGACAAGAAGGCTAGTGCACTGCAAGTTCTCGCTTTCAAGACACGAGCGCAGGACTTCATGCAGGCTGTAGTCCAAAAGCTACTGGACAAGAGCCCTCTCAGGTAAGTCCTTGGTAGGAATCTGAGATGGCCATGGTGCCAAAAGTCTTCAACAAGAAGGACTGGAAGGAAGCCGACAAGACACGTTTGAAGAACAGTGTCACTTTGCTTGTTGCCAAGAGATTCTCTAACACAGATGTGGGTGGTGTTATGCGATGAGATGTGCAACTTTAGAGATGAATCACAAGATTGCAGTGAACTGAACGCACATTTTCGAGCATTTACAACTTCTGATCGACTGGACGCTTTTTGGCATGCCATCCTGTCAAAGAGCACCTACAAGAAGCTCTGGAATGTAGTGCAGATGCTCATGCTCCAGTCTCGTGGCCAAGACACGGTTGAAAGAGGGTTTTTGTTCAAGAAGGAAGTCATGACATATAACATGAAAAAGCGAACGGCGGTTGCCCTGCGTGCTGTGGTTGATCATGTTGCACATGTTGGTGGCCTAGACAAGATGACCATCAACAAGAAAATGCTGCTTGCAGCTCCCAGTACCAAAACAGCCTAAAATAATTATTTGACAGAAGAGAAAGAGCAGAATGCGAAGGCCCAGAAAGCCCAGAAGAGGAAGGCTCTGTTGGATGAGCTAGATGAACTGAAGAAGAAGAAAAGGCGTACGGAGGAGGGCATCAAGGCGCTTGAGCAAGCAGCAGATGAATATGCAGAAGCAATGGAGAGAAAGGGGGAATTGAAAATTGTCGCCAAGTTCAACGTCATGCATGAGACGATCTTTGAAAACAAAGCAACAGGAGGTAGACACTCTTGAACTGTATAATTAAAGAAAAAGTTGATGAAAAAGCTGCCAGTTGAATGTAAGGGTAGTGGCGTTGAAGAGTGTTCTGAACTGTATTTACATTATCATGTATAATCTTGTTTGCCGTACTCAATACAGTATTTGTTGCGATTTGACACTATTGAATTCATAATATCACCAGTGTGGGCTTGATTTTCAGATATGTCATTTTTGATCCTCATGCGCTGTTTGCCTGCTCTATGCATTTACCCATTTGTCGTTCATCAACTGTAGGAGATGATAGAATATGCACGGTTAGTCTTTCAGTCATGCTAAACCTGCCGTATACGAGTCTTGGAAAATTATATGTTGATGGTCACGGAGATTCATGGAAATTTTTTTCTAAATACCGGTACGCACCCTGTGTCAGTCTTGCAGTGCTGTTTATTATGCATCTAAAATACGGTCCCACTGTCTGTACCACACTAGGATGTGGCGTCAAAAACCGCCTTTTGTGAAAGATTACATTGAATACCATTGCAAGTTAAACTGTCGCGGCAAATCTACCGCTGCAGTTTAAACAGGACACACGCGGGCGTTAGGCGTCAAATTCTACGCCGCGTTAAAAGCCGTCGTGTGTGAACAGCAGTGCACATTTTGTATGTCCGCTAAGGTTCGGCGGTAAATATTTACTGGCAGTATTTACTGCCCTGTGTGAAAGGGGCCTGATATTTTAGAACTACGCTCTGCTAGCCCGGCAGTATTATATCTGCATTCAGAAAACTTGTGCAAGTCTTATCGTTGCGACATCAGCATCTTTAGTGAGTAGCACATCAAAAAGAAAATTTCGTCGAAAAATTGTAACAGAATTATTATAAACTACCTTCTTATAATACAATTTCAATAACCAGTACCATTGGTAGTGTCACTTTATTACCTTTACCTGTAGGCGGCTCTGCTATCAACTTAAATAATGTCTAATATATAAAATTTAAAACAAAAAGCAGTAAGTTAACTTTGGCCGTAGTTCCATGTAATTGTGGAAGCCCATTGAGGGGGTATAATTGTTTTATCATGCACTTGGTTGTTTGCATCACTTATCAAATCTCTTGAAAATATAGCATGATTAACATAAATTTCAAACTTGAAGCAGTCTAACATTTTTCTCTCTGTTGGACACCTCTTTGACACGTGATGCATGCCAAGGAACAAGAATGAGTGAGATTCAACAACATGTGGACAAATAAAATAATATTCGCACAATTAATATCTGTGGCGAGCAGGATGTTTAGGCGCATTTCTATTTTCGAATACACTCCAAGTCTGCGGAGCAATAGGTGTATTACGTTGGCCCTGTAATTGCCTTGTCTCTCCTCTTTCGGCATCCTAATCGGTCGTAGGCAGGATTTATTTCCTTGTTCGTCTCACTATACAGCCTACAGAGCAAACTCGGTTTACATTCTCCGGACTCCGGATCTCATCTCCTTCCAATTAAGAGCGGCTGGTGTTGTCTTTACTCGTATAGGTTCGCGTTTAGTAATTACTGGTACAACACGGGGATCATCAGTGCAGGTACCAAACACGTTTTGAAAGATTTGACAAGCATTTCTTCGATGGATGATGTACTACTTTTTAGTTTCAAATCTCAGGCGCATTATAAAAATAAATAAATACATAAAAACTCATTTAGTTCTGTGTAATAGTGTTTTAGAGCTGCTTCAGGCAACCAAAGTAATTTTTAAAATTATTTTGCCGTATATGGCCGTGGAAGTATGTGCTTCGCACACACCTCCACGTAGCACTGAACCTCCAAAGGAGCACATTTTGCCGTGGATGTATGTGTGCTGCTTTAGTATGTGAATATGTAAACATAGCTATGATTAGATTTGATTTTAAACGAATTGCGTGAATATAGAGTTTTTTCTGAATACATTATACAATTGATTATTCATTTATTTCATTTGTTTCTTAGCCTTTAATCCAGAGTTAGCCACGAATTTCAGCTTCAGTGAATAAATAGAAATATTTGCCGTGGTGAGTTTTTTGGAAATTAGTCTGGCTGCTACTCCTTAGACAGTATATCCAGCTCTGCCAGCGTTCACTTTAAATCAGCCATAATATATGGTTTAGCCAGCGTTCAATTCAACTCAGTACTGACAGCTCAGCCAGTGTTCACTGCAACTCACACAGCATTTACAGCTCAGCCAGCTGTTCCGTATTGCTACATGTTCCATAATTTTTCTTCTTTCTTAAATGCAATAGACTTAACAAGACAGAAGCCAGATATTCCTTCAAATGTATGTATTTCAACAAATATGAAACATTTTTAATTTCTACCACAAACTGGGATAAATTTACCTTATGCACTTTGGCCGTACAACAATTATTTGCCGGCTGCTGGTCGGATACCATCTGCCTGCTGCAATTGAAAACAAAAGCCGGACCTCAAACTCATGCACCGAAAGGCATAAGTGGTCCTT